ACGAGAAAGAAATGCCTCCCTTTGCTTCCCGGGATCCGCATCACGTGGTAACAACGTCACGCTTTTGCCCGGAGCCGCGCTGACGAAGACATCTCAGGGAGATGAAGAAGCTTTTGCTCGGGCTACACAAACGCTCCCTCCCCCGCCTTGGGGCGGGGCCTCTCTGCAATTGGCGACATTTTGCTCGCGCGTACCAGGCAACTTTACAGATTTTGCTCAGCCAGATGCCGGCGGTGGCATTGGGATCGCCTAACTTGTTGTGGCTTGCGCTGTCGCACGTGCCGTCCGAGGCACCCGAAGGAGTCATTGATATTCTCCAATACCTCGTCAAACCAGTCCTCATACAACTGGTTTTGTATTCCATGTTCTTTATGTTTGCATCCACCCCTTCAAGCAGCATCGCTATTTAAGCAGGAAGCAGTTCGTTCTCTTTTGGATCTAACAGCGCTGCCATAATCGCGTATCGCCATTTTATGCATCACTCCATTCTTCTACTCTCGTCTGCGCGCACCGAGCCCTGCTGTTGAGAGTGCGACTGCTAAATCCGTCTGATAACACTGATATCTCTCTTGGCTCCCCGCCGTTTGTGTTAATGCTCGAGTCGGGGAAGGAGTCCCGCTGGTTCCGCCGAACACCGACTTCACGAACATCCCTCCCCGAAAAGAATCCCTGGATTGAATATCCCTTAAACCGCAAGGCCTTTACTAGGTCAGGCTGGCTTTCGGTAACATCAACGCATAATGTCAACTCCTACGCCCTGAGCGCATACTGTAAAAGTAGCTTATGTCCCTGAGCGGCCTAATCATGAGGTGAGCATAATTACCTCCACTTCCATGCTCGTTTAACACTGGGGAATTATACTCATAATAATGCAAAATTAACGTCACTACACTTATCTTTCAACGTGGAAGGAAACAAGAAAGAAGCAACTTTTCGTTCAATAAGACGCCGTTTAAAGACGGAATGTACTTCAAGCGACGTAAATACTCGTAAACTATTTTTCTTTCTTTCACCAATTTTAGTGAGTTTCAGTATAGCGCATACGAGCAAACGCAAGCACTCTGCGTTTGCGTTTGCTCTTTCTTGCACGCGATACTAAAACTCTCTAATATGTTTTTTGCTTGGAAATAGACACCTTGATAGGAAAAAATCGTGCAGCCTTTCCACTCTCGTGAAGAAGGAAGACCAGCGGAGCTGTACTCGATACACTGTGTGCTTTTTCTTCGTCGTCGTCTGTTTTTCGCGCTGTTTCCTACGATGAATTCCTACCAACGCGCCCAACTATCCATTCTTCTATTATAGATGGAAAGGTTGGCGACATCTACGAGCAACGGCGGAAACCGTCGCTCGTAGATGTGTGCTTGCCGCCGTCGCTTATAGATGGCGGTAGCTGTCCAGGCAGGTTTGTGTCGACATACCGGACACAATCCTGGGGAACCTAGCCCTTAACAGCGCCGCTGTAATAGGCATTAAGTTTTAGATATATTGATGAGAGAAAGTTAAAAAAAAAAAGAATGACAGAAGTTTTGTAATGCGAAATTAGAGCGCAGCTCTTGAGGAAGAGGAGCGGAGGGTACGGAGGGGAGGGTATGCCCCTCTTTCTCCCTCCCCATTCCCTCCTCTCTCCTACTCCAATTCAGTTTCCCCGCTTACTTTACCGGGGAAAATGACGTCACATGACTTGGTGTCACTTCACCAATGAATTTGTCAGATGCCGGCGGACAAACTGAATTTGTCCGCTAAATCTAGCGGAGAAACTGAATTTCCCCCTAAATCTAGCGAAAAAACTGAATTTTCCCGCTATATTTAGCGAGGAATGGAATTGGTGTTGAGATCACGTGACGTCGATTTTTCCTCTAAATTTAACGTGGTTCCGCCGACGCCGCGAAACACGGAAACAGGCGCCTAAGAGCTGTGCTGTTAATATCGTTTTCAGTGTCCTTTCAAGGAAATCCATGTCAGACCATGACCCACTTCTTTTTTGGGGCAAAATTGCATTCGCGTTCGCCCGTCCTATCAGAACCTTCGGACCCTCAATTTCTCTGTGTTGCAATAAACTTCGGCGGTGATAACCGGCACCTCCTACACAGCTATCTAAGAGCTATTGTGATAAGAGACGATTAAACGATGTCATCACGTATCAGACCTGAGCAAGCTCAATTTAGAAGTGTTACGTGGGCGACGCAAAAGTAGGAATGGCGACGAAGTGGTAATTGACGAGTAGGAAAGGCTTTCCTTAGATAAGATGTACTGTCATCGTCATCGTCCTCTGCACCCCGAAGAACTCTTAGCACTGTGAACTCAGAATGCAGAGTTACGAGTATTGAACCAAACAAATAATTACGGTGCTTTTTCTCTCCTCAATATGAAATTGAAAGCATGCAGCCAGTATGTGGAATGACTATTTGAAAGGGACGCGAGTCTGTGGGGTGATTTACGTGCCAAACCAATAAAGGGAATCTCTCACTTCCTAACGAAGAACTTAGGATTAAGTTTATTTTGACCGCTTCTGTGTCTTTCAATGTGCAACCGAAATCTCGGTTAATGGCGCGCCTTCTCAACAATAAGCGCCTGTCAGATTGCGGGCACCTTGACCTGGATTTGAAGCCGCCACCTGGGGATCCGTGGGCACGCTCTCCCTCGATGCCACCGAGGCCGTTGTGGAACGCCGCAGAAAGACGTTAAATAATATGACCCGAAATATGATATATTTATTGATGAAACTTGGGTAAAGTTTAATATAAAGCCCCCCCCCCCCCTCTCTCTCTCTCTATCTGCGTAAACGGCATAACACAACTGTGTAAGAAGTCGTTTACTGCCGCTTGATCATGGCTGGTTCTGAGTGTACCGCAATGTAAGGAAATAAGCAGAAAAACCAAAAATTGCACGTGTTTATCGTTTATTCTCAGGCTCAGTGGATTCAGGAGTCAAACTACTCACGTTACTGGGATTTTCTTTTGGCGAGGGAAAGCTCTAAACCAAATGAACGATGTCCCTTCTAGGGGGATTGATGAAGAGTTGAGCCTAATCTTGTGGACCCGTACAAAGTTTGACTTACAGTTGCGAAGATCATCCTACTGATTTGAGTGAGCATCGTCCTAAACGATATCTATTACGAGCAGACCAGAGAGCGATCAAGACGCCATTTGTTTTCTTCCCGCGTCTTCCTCCACGACTGCAGGCAGCGGTGTGACTATCGAAACCGGCGGACAATGAAGTCTGTCGTCGGCATCCAACGTATCCTTATTACTGTTCGTTCCTTCAATTCACCCTCCATCGATGTAACCTCGTTTAATCGGCGGTTGGCAGCTAAGGTCGTCTGTCATTCGAGCGCCAAATGCAAGAGAATCAGGAACCCGTCGGAAGCGAGTCGCGTTGGCGTGCTTCGATTCCTTTGTTGACAGGCGAGTGGCATACCGTGCGACCGATCGTGCCCCCTTTTTCTAGCACCAGACGCATGTTCGACAAACGTCCGACGGGTCCCACGATTCGTCGGACAGACTGCTGAGTCCGACCAGGCGCTTGCCAATGACGCCGTAATTGGACGGCTTGTCAGATTCAGCAATCTTTCTGACGTGTCGTGCGAACCGTCGGACGTTTTGTCGTGCATTTGGGCGATTTAGAGCGCCCTCTAACGGCAAGGTCAAAAAGCACAAAACAAAAACAAAGAACGGGAATTTGGAGTTACTTGCTCCCAACGAAAACTTGAGTTCGTCGTCGTAGTAAACGCCATATAGATCTTACGTATGGTCACAGGCAGGTTAAAAATAATGGCGCCTCTTTTCGCGAGCTCTAATGTGGACACTTGGCGAAAAAGTCGGTGAGGTGCAGGTAAATTGAACGAAGACGAATTCGCGGCATATACAATCGGCTCCAGATCACGTGGCCGCTTGTTCTAAATGCGAGTTAAGGAGGTGAACGCTGCTCGTTTTTCTTTAATTTTTTTTAGCGACTTGTTTTGCGTGTGGTGAAACACGAACGCGTGTTTCATGGGTCATTTAAACCACAGATTCGTTCTAAACGGTAAATGCGCAAAGTGAAAAGAAAAAAGAAATCGTTGCATAGCTTTTTTAACAAAACGACGGTTGTTTGGGCGTCGCAAAGCAGCATTCATTTTCAACCCTTGCTATACGCTTATTACCAAGAGATAAACAGGGGGATCTATGGCCGACAATATAGAAGTAAAAATATCGCTGGCCAAGTGGGCTAGCGCACACTAAAGCACACACCAGCTCGGAGCACGCGAAGCGAAAGCACCCAGAGATCCTGGATTCGATCACCATCCCTGCCTGTTTCTACCTGGATGAGCATCGTACCAGCGTGCGGTCGTGTATCACTACTCCGTGATGCACGTTAAAGATCCCCAGACTTGCGGTTGTACCGCACTGGCTAAATTGCTCATATACAGCTGAGGCACCAGACGCCTGAGGCAGACCAACTTCCGGCACTACGGGTTTCGAAAAGGGTACTCAACAGAGTTAGCGCTATAAAATAAAGAAGATATAATTCTAAACAATATTGAAGATAAACTTCTTACATTATTAATCTCCATCAATTTTTTAAAGGATTCCGATCGTATTAATAAATAAACTTTACTTAAACAACTAGAACTGAGACACCAGACGCCTACTGTGGCAAACTTCCGGCTGTATAAACGAACACACACCAATTATATAGAGACGCGCGGTTACTGCGAACAGAAAGGAGGCATAAATCGTTGAGTGAATATGGGCTAAAATAGAATTGACTGGATGATGAACACATAGATGGCGAAACTGCAAAACGGAAGTAATCTTTTTATGTGTTATTTCTACTGCTCAGGTTCGGGAAAGTTTCAAACAAGATTTAACAAGAAGATTCAACGGTTCGGGAAAGTTTTAAAACAAGATTTAACAAACAAGATTCAACAGTTCGGGAAAGTTTCAAACAAGATTTAACAAGAAGCAAATACTCTCCCGCTTTCTCATTTGTTTTTTTATCTTTTCCCTTTTTTTTGTTAGCGATCCTTCAGGCCGTCACGAGCGTGTGCTGCATCCTGCTGATCGCGTGCGTTGCCACTTTCTACACCAAGTACGTCCGCGTCCGCGCCGACGAAGAGACGGACGAGTCGACCACCTATGAGACCGTGCTGGGAACCTACGACGACTCCGGCACGGCCCACTTCCTCAAGTTCACTTCCTGGACCTTCATCGCGGCCGCCAGGGTGTCCTCGATGGCCGCCCTCTTGTCCGTTTACTCCAGTCCGGCCCTGCTAAGCCTCGCCTTCCTCCACATTCCTGTCGTCCTCTGCTGGTCTACGACGTGCCGGACCACGTACAACGTGTCCAAGTTCCTCGGTGACCTCGCCCTAGGCTTGATGACGATGCTGTTTCTGGTCGAGTACCGCGGCCTGAACCGGGAAGGGCTAGCCACTGCCATGTCCACCGTGGTGTTCCTCTGCTCGACGTTCCTGGAGAACTCCGTGTTCCTGGCGCTCGCCTACTTCCTGTCCAGGACTCTGCAGACGGTGTTGTTTGTGGTCATAGGTGCGCATTACGTGGCCATGACGTGTGGCGTGTTCTTGCTGCTTTGTCACTTCAGGCTGCGCTCGCACAAGGCCGATTACGTCTTCTGAACTGTCTGGCGGGTACGGGTGCTAGCCCTCCCCTCACAATGACTGAAAATTTAACTTATTAACTTCCTTCCTTTCTCATCTCGCGTTTGGCGAAAATCATCTGTTTTTTTTTTATTTTCTTATTAGTTTTGTTTTCTGACAGCTTTACACGAGGTTTAATACTGACTTTTTTTTTCGGTTTTCAACGGCATTGGCGTTGATCGTTCCCAAAATGGCCGAAACCGCAGCCAGAACGTTTTAGCGTGATTCGAACAGCGATTGAGTCGAAAGTTCGCCGGCGGCCAAGAGCGTCGTGAAAACAAGGCGAGGTTTGTCGCGAGTGTGTTTCACGAGCAATTCAAATTCGCCGACAGTGTCTCAAATAAACAGAGCACAATGCGACTACAGCTCTCATAATCACGGGTCTCTGTGGGCGTTACGCAGACTAAGTGGCGTCCACCGGTGTGGCAATAGTTCGGGCTTGTACAAAGATGTTTTGTTTCAGTTTCTGTTGTACAGCGAGTCCCCCAAATGTGCAAATGTTCTCATGCGTGTTATTCGTGACTGTATAGGCGAGTTGAAGAGAATGTAAAGGTTAAGCATTGTTCCGATCGACTCGGGATTATTAGGCAGCTTGTCCGTCGTTGGTTACATGTAGACAGCTCATTGTGAAGTATTTCAAATACGAAAAAAGTGTCGGAACACATCGGAAAGGTTGTACCTTTTTCTTGGAACGAATAAATGATTGTATTGAAATTGAATTGTCTTTGAACTTCGAGACGGTCCAACCTCTCTCTTTTTGTTGAAACGATTCTATGCCCGAACTGGGAAACACTTGTCTGCTTTCTTCAAGGTCGACGGGCGATAATCGACAGTGAAGAACGGAGGGCATCAAGGACATTTTAGATTTACTTTCGAAACCGATGATAGTGTCGCTCTATCATCCTTTTTCCGATCTTTGGCGCTTCTATCAGTATGTTAAGCAAGGAGCAAAGTCTCCTTTCGACAGGTGGCGTCACGGATGACGTTAGCGCAAACTCGTCGCCTACAATAAATGGTCTGTCGGCTGCACGGAGAGCGTAAAGTTCAAGAAAGCTGCGAAAGTGTCGGGGGCCTCCAAGCGAGCAAGCAGGGTATGTGCTGGCGTTATCTTCCTAGACCGAAGTACTCGCTCCTATCCGTGCGCTGACACTGCAGAGTTGGGGCTTCAAGGACCGACGGAGTCCTTCGACGCCGCCGCGAATATCGATTAGCAAAAGAACTCGCACTTATCTCGCATATATTGATACCAGCAGCAACGCGCGCAAACGAGTCTTGTTTGTTTTGCCAAATAGAATTTTGTTCTAAATAATGATAGGTTTTTTTTTTTTATATATATATGATCTGAGCATGTTGGCGGCGGAAACTGAAGAGTTTATCTATCGTTCCATCGAAGCAGGCAGCAAGATAACGCAGCAGAAAAACACTGTTTCCAGATCATCAGCTAAAGATACGGCAATTGCGTTACTCCACCACGCTTGCCCCTTTTCCGGGAGATGCAAATTGCAAACTCCGATGCGACACGCCCCTGATAACGTCTGTAACCCGTTATCTCGCAGGAAGTCGAGAAAGAAAGCGGCAATCGTTGGCTTCATGCAGGCCACTCTTTCCAAGCAGCCAACCCGACCGCAGTTCATCGTTTGACACCGACGAAGACAGCACGAATGGATACCATGCGTCAAAACTACGGCGCCATCTGCGGCGAGACTCCGACCGACCCTTCGACGGACTGGCTGGAACGTTTCCGGAGAGAGCGTCGGAAACGAAAGAACATGAAGTATTGCTACAAGGGCCTTCCATCACTAGAAGCCGCGGGCTACCAGAGCATCAAGGAACCCCTTCCAGGTGCAGAAGACGCAATGGTCGAACCGAACAACGTGCACGGCAACCACAACCACGAACCGGTGCAAGGCGTAGAGGCATTATCGAGGACAAACAGCAGTGCCGTCGAAGACCTTCACAGAGACAAACTCCTGAGTGGTTTGTTCAGAGACGCGGACACCACGATGAACGGCAGCGACGAGATCTGTAACGGGTTAATGACGGTGAATCACCCAGAACTGCGAAGTGCTCCGCTCGTCCTGGTGTTTTCGTCTTTGTATGCCATAGTGCTACACGTGACCTTCATGGCGACGTCCTGGTGGTTGGTGCACGAATACTTTTTGTCTGGATGCCAGTTCAAGGCGGCCACGACGCTCTTCTTGTCGTTGCTGTCCAGCCTGCCGTTGTTCATCAACGGTATAATCCGTCTGCTGGGCAGGGAGAACTGGCCGACCTATATTCTGTCCCTGGTCCTGCACGTCCTTGCGGCAGGCATCTTCAACATGGTACCTCTTCTGCAGTAAGTTACTCCTTCCAAACTTCCAACAACCGAAACGTCTGTACCACGATCGGCAATGACCCAAGCATCGCCGGAGTTGTGCGCAGCAAAGGCATAGGCGCGGCCACATGGCTTTGAGATTTGCTTTGCTTTCGCGAGTGCTCGTGTAAGGAAAGCAAATCTGAAAGCCACGCGCTCGTGCCTCTGCGTTTGCCTCAGTCATGTGAAAACCTGCTTGGTGATGTTTGATCGCACTGGGCAGCGCCGCGGTGTGCAATAATGGCATGATCATAGCTTTAGCTTGGCACGTATAAAAATATAGCCATGTTTTCGGGTACGGTGCAATGCTGCGCAAACGCCTCGCACGCTGATATTTAGAAGGTGTAGTTCGAGAGATGACTCAAATCTATTAGTGTTTCCCGCTCCGATAGTGCCAACATCTAAGGAGGCGCTGCCCGTCTTTATTTTCTGTGCTTTCTCCGTGTAGGCAAAAATAATGCGAGACTACGCGGTTTATGTGATCAATAATCACCACAAAGCTTAAGTTCTCTCTTATGTAGGATGCGCGCACTTACTAACCAGATGTCTTCGGGCGTTTGTGGGGTTGAAACAAGTCGTGCTTGTTTTAAGCCTGGTTCCCATGGTACGATGTTGCTTGAGACTTCGCATCCACGACGTTGAGCAGATTTCACCACGCTTTTCTTGCCGCGCGAGCGACGTCGCAATTGCGATATCGTAAGTAAAATCGCACCATGTGATTCAGGCATCAGTGTTCTAGTACCATTGCTGCTTGGCGGCGCTTTTTAGGTCGCGCTCGTCGCTAACTATAGCAGCGTGCGCGAACAAAAACGTGGCTGGAATCGCAATTCGCCATTGGCCAAACGCTTAGTTTGACGTTTTTATCAGGATCAATTTTTCATCGACGAAAACAAGCGCAATGTCAGGGAGTCAACTGCGATGTTTGTTTAACAATGCGATGACTCTGGGCGTTTATTGTTACTTGTTCAGATATACCATCGGACTTGTAGTTCGCAATTGATGAGTAGTCAATGATTACAACTCATGACATCACGGCAAAAAAATTATTGTCGTGACGTCACGAGCGGAAACCATAAGAGGCCGCTACAGAAACATCTTGGCGCGAAGAGTTCCACTGGCGCGAATCGCTTTTAGGCAACCCGATAATCCTTCGCAGTGCAGCTTGTAATGCAGTCGATCTTAACCAGTCGCAGGCACTCCGGTGACTTTGTCTATGGTTTCGTTCGCGCGAAAACGCGGACAAATGGTCTGCGAGATCAAACCTCATGCTCGCGTCAGCAGCCTTGACAGCGTTGTACACGTATGAGAGTCGCAACATCGTCGGCTCCTGCTAATCAAAGTAGATCGAATCGCGCATGTAACAGAAAGATGCTATAGTTCGATCACGTGTGCACGTGATCGCATAGTCCAGGGGTCTTCTATTCGCGACCCGATTGCCAGATCCGGCCCCCGGATGGCCACGGTCTTTCCAGTATGACGTCCGGCCCGCGACCGGCCGCTACAAACTAAAAAATAAAACGCGTAAAAAAAAAAACAAAAAAAAAACGGCGTCGCGATTAGCATTAAAACGCAAACTAAAATATTAATAATAAAAACAACTGCACCAAAACGTTGGTTATTTCGCTATATTATTTATTGTACATTCTTATCAGCATTCGTAGTCGCTTTTCGTGTCTGTGTCACTGTGTTAAAATTCTTTTGATTTCTTGTGTATGTCCTGCTTACACTCCTGTGTCGGTTATTGCAAACTGTCATCATCAGAACTCCCATTCTCATTAGTCTTCTGCCATTTGTGAACATGTCAAAGTTCCTATGCGCTTTAATTTGTCTGGTGAGTTTTCTGGGTCACAATGTTTTTGATGTCTCAATTAGCTACATATTGAAGAAAAGGTATGCCATTCACTTTATCAATTTTTGCTACGCAGTTTTAAACTTTTGCATTTAAATACTGAATTAGGTTTATTTATTTCATTTAGTATTTCTAATTTATATTGACATATATTTATAATCCGGCTCTCGAGACTGTGACAGATCCCAATCCGGCCCCTCAGGCGAAAAGTTCGGAAACCACTGGTATAGCCCTTCATATAGCGTGTGAACTAGACCACCCGACATTGGAATGTTTCCAAAAACTGGCGTTTTATCAATGTTTACCGAGCGGCCAACTGACGCACTAGCTCATTGTTAACGGATGGTAGATTATCCGACAATAGCTTTACACTTTGACCGTGAAACGTAGTCAACCTAATAAGGCATAGGGTACCGAAAAATAATTCGAAGAACCTCGCATATCTTTGTCGCTTCGTCGCTGAACCTGGTGATTCTCAAATAATTTCCAAACAATGAAAAAAAAATTTTTTTTTGCGACAATAATTTTTTTTTGTGCTTTTGTTGTGCTCCAGTGATAAAAGCAAATGTATCGGGAATTGCCCTGCGATTGTGTTGCTACGCGAAACGTACTTTGTTTAGGGCTAGTAACCTCCAGGCAATTCTTCTCGAGCTGTGCCTGCGGGTCCTTCCACTCCTCTCCACCCCAGTGACTCATTGTGCCGTTGACTTTCCCCACCAGATAGGTCTGTGTCCAAAGAGCATGTGGAACGGCGGGTAGCGAACAAAATTGAATTTGTGTTTAGGTCACGTGACATCATTTTTCCCGCTAAATATAGCGGAGAAACTGAACTTCTGCTTAGGTCACGTGACGTCAAGTTTCCCACTAAATCCAGCGGGAAAACTGGATTTTCGTATAGATCTCGTGACCATGTCATGTGACGTCAAGTTTTTCGCTAAATTTAGCGGCGAAACTGATTTTGTGTACAGGCCACGTGACATGAAGCCATATGACGTCATTTGCCCCGCTAAATTTAGCGGGAAAATTTCGGGGGGGGGGGGGGGGGCGGCTGCATCCGCGGCCGCTTCACGACAGCGCGCGCTCGGCAACCTCGGCAGTACCGAAACGCGGCCATCCACGTGAGTACACCGCAGATGATCTAAGGCAGCGGAAGGACGACATTCAAGCTTTCGCATTCACAACTCATATCAAGTGCTTACGTGTCCTTGGAATTCTTCTCCGAGCTTCAGGACATTTCCTGGATGGATACTTGACGTTCTTTATCACCTAATACGATCACGATAGTTGACTATCGATTGGTTCACAATAGTCGGCTGTCGATAGATTCACGGTAGCCAACTATCGGTGGTATACTCTCGATAATCGTTTTCTTGTTTATTTTTTGTTTTTGTTTTCTCTTTACATCGATGGCTAGGTTTGGCTTTCACTATCGATAGCATCGGTAGTACTATCGATGGTTTTTCATCACTATACCTGTGACACATGTTGCACAACCTAGAGACAGCTACGAGACTATGCATATCAGAGTAGACGCGCACACTGAGCCTCGATCCTTTCCACTCCATAGTCTTATCAATTCCTCGTGGTTTCTAGGCAGCGCAGCAACATGAATCGTAGGCCACGCGTTCCGCCGTTCGCGATTTATTCATACTCGATAGTACTTACATTGTTACCTCCGACCCTGCTAAATGTAATAAAACTTGTAAGCTTCGAAAACATAAATGAAATCCCAAAACTAAAACGTGCATGGGATCGTTGAGGAGGATTCACCATTCTGCCCATGCATTAACATTTAAAGTGTGCAAATCGTATTCGAATCGAATGACGGTGCATCATTCAGGGCCCTCAGAGTGCTAGCGAACCTCACGACATAACGTCTCTTTTTGCAGTGCTGAGTGATGACGTCGCGCAATTCGACTCTAAGCAGTATTCGCACGCTTAAAATAAACACACTTTCCCGAAACCCGCGCCGTCATGCAGTCGGCGCTTACAGAAATGACGGTACTTGTGAGGAACACGGAGTGTTATTTATCTGTTAACGAACTCGTTGTCGCACAAATAAAAAAAAAAAAAAAGAGGAGGTCTCGTGCATTATTCATGTGCTTCACGAAAGAGTTCTTATAAGATGTGGTTGTCAAAGAAACGATGATTTTGGCATTTGAAACGTGTACGTCTTTATAAAACGACATAAAATTAAGATGTGCATATGATGCACCTACGTGTATTTTAATTCATCGCGAAAAGGGGGAAATTAATAACGTTCCGCAAATACCGGACTTTTTTTTTTACTACGTTTTTGTTTTTTTGTTTTTTTTTAGGTGGACAGTATAGAAGTGTGCGTATAGTGGTTTAGTAGACAGGATAACTGGGCGAGTTGGTATGGATTCATAATGGAACAGCGCGAATTTTTGCAAGGACAGAGGAAGGAACTGGATGATGTAAACGGTGTAACGCTGTACACGATGTAAACGCATGCGCATTTACATCGTGATTAGAGAGTCGTGTTGTATTTTTTTCTTCGTGGTCTCCTGAGAATAAACCTTTCAGTTGTTAGTCAGCGCTCGTCCTGTCCAGTTCCTTCCTCTGTCCTTGCAAAAATTCGCGCTGTTCCATTATGAACGTATAGTGGTTGGAATCGAATAGCGTAGGGTTACACCCACTATCCATACTGGTAGTTGGACCAATCAAGCAGCGTAAAAAGTGTAAGTCACTAGGCCTTCTCTGTTTGATTGGTTGGGCAATGATAGAACACGTACAGAAACATGACGGACACCATGATCGTGCGAATTTTGACGCTGACCGATTGTTTCCATCCGCTCATAGCGTCGGCTGCGTCTGGTAAAACGAAGTATATAGCTATTCTTCAAAGAGGACCGGCATGTCGTGTCTTTCCCTTGGACCATGGTGGCGCATTTACACGTGCGGATTCGCGCAGGCGGAAAGTGGATTTTGGAGCCGGGTGGTTTAATCTACTCGTCGCCGGCGGAAAATTTGGATCAGTCCGGGACCTACCTATATATCCAGATTTTCCGCCGGCGACGAGTAGGTTTCGCCACATGGCTCCAAAATCCGCTTTCCGCCCGCGTGGAATGCACGTGAATCCGCAAGTGCAAGTGCGGCACGAAAGCTACGA